TAATTATCATTATTATCATCTAAACAAAATTCAATCTTTTCCAATCATTTATCAAAAGTTTTTGTTTTGAATTTTTTCTCTAAAAAAATTTGTAATTCTCTGAGAAAGTGCATCAATTGATTATATTTTATCAGCGTTAAAATTTAGTAAAATGTAGATAGCATTTTAGAAAAGGTGATTTCAATTCAGTTCATATCTTAGTATAGAAAAAGACATGAACTAAAGATCGAAACTAATTTATTGCGTGGAAGTGATGCCTCTTTGTAGATTAGCTTAGTCATCTAGAAATTTATGTTTATATTGTCACATATAGTGTCTTTGCTTCCAAAAATAGATGTTCGCCCTTCAGGAATTTTAAACCACCCTTTGATAAAGAAAATCTTGATAAAAGATTAGCATCAAGTCGAGCAAGTTAAAAATCTCTTGTCGATAATAATTAATCTCGTAGTCATATGCACATTGTTAATTATTTAAGAGAAGAATACATCGATATTGTATAAAATTTCTCATATTGACCATATATTTTACTATCTAATATTCGAAAGTTAATTTTAGACTTCACATACAAACATTTGGAAAGTGCCACCATTTTCGAATCAAAGTTCATCTGTTCGTTATCTTGATTTACGAGGATTTAATCATTCTGGTCAATGTCAATATTATAATGATCAACAATGTTCATCATTAATTCGTTCACCATTAGGTAATCAATGTGAATTCCTTATTATCGAAGTTGAAAAACGAACAAATATAATTGATCTTGTTAATAAAATGAATCATCTTCGAGCATTAAATGTTCGTTGTCGTGATAGAAAAAAAAATGATGATGAATTAATTAAATGGTTACAAGCACGTTTACCATCAACATGTTCATTTGCAAAAGATTCAAGATTTTCCAATGATATTCGATTGTGGATTCGTTAGAACAATTAAGATTAAAACTAACAAATGGAATCAATCAATTGTTTAATGATTGCATCATAAACTAAAATTGGTTTTTTTTCAATTGACAATTTTCGCTCAGAATTATTCAACATTAGACAGTGGGTTTTTCTATTGCATTATTTGTTTTTTTGTTTTCTATTGACAAAAAAATTTCAATTAGTTATTATTGAGAATAAATTTGATGACTTAATTCAAATCGAAATCGTCCAAAACTAGATGAAAAACATAACCAAAATGAAAGAAACATAGTGTAACGAGATGTTCAATGATATACATTCAACTTTATATTTGACTAATATTCAATATGAATAGAAACAATCTCTAGCGTCTGTAGAGTTACAGTTCATATAAAGGACCACTAGTCAAGAACGTCTAGATGAAAATCCAATTTTTTGATCCTTCTCTTCATTCGTATGTAAAAATGTTCGCTTGTGACTGAGCCTTTCCTTCTGAATGTACACTTTCCAAGATTTTTTTAGAAATACTTTGTTCATTCAAATCTAATTTTTGTTTTCTATTGAACGATTGATATACCTTTTTATATAGGTGATTTATTCGTAGATGATGCGTCATTAAATTCTGAGAAGTCTTTCTTTTGAGAATGTTACTCAATACCCATTTGACTTGAAAATATTATGAAAATGCTTAACAAACAACGAAACAATCATAATAAGTACCCACGCATCGAAATGTGTATGATTCGCTTCCCTCACGTCTCGCTTTGGTTGATCTCAACCTCGTTTTCCGTCGATGTTCTTTATGGATGATCCGTAATCATTATTATCATAAATATTATAATGATCATTATTCGAGCCATTTCAATCATATTACATTAGAATATCACTATTATGAATGTGATTATATTTATGGGTGATTCCATCGTATATGTGACACGTTCACATCGAGTTCTTCAAAATCGATTTTCATGTTTGAAATCGTGTAGAGCATTGTCGATTTAATTACTAAAATAATAAAAGATCCACTATAAATTCTAATGTTGAAGAGATTACCGACTCATAAGATTAACGTGAAAAATAGCTAATTCTATATAAAACCAGTGTAAATAAAGCTAGAATGCCCATCATCATACCTTGTTAAAGCAGAATTTTGGGTCATAGTGACATATCAGATTTTGTAGAGCAAAATTTGCTCTGCACGTCCATATATAATACTTTTCAAGGAAGTACCAAACAGGAATTATTTCAGCATGGAAATTTTTATCATGTAATAATATATATAACTATACATGGATTAATCATGATAATAGTTTCGTCCTGAAATAATTCCTGTTTAGTATTTCCTTGAAAAGTGTTATTTATAGACGTGCAGAACAAATTTTGCTCTACAAAATCTGATCTGTCACTATGACCCAAAATTTTGCGTTAACATGGATATGATGGTGGACACTTTAGCTTTATTTACAGTTTTTCACGTTAATCTTATGAATCGCTAATCTCTTCAACATTAGAATTTATAGTGGATCTTTTGTTATTTTAGTAAGTAAATTATGGGGCGAGTAACGCTGTCGAACAAAATACATATCAATTTTATTCTGTCCAAGTATGAGAAAAATAACAATACTAATCTTTTTTGCCAATATTCACTGAAACTCTTATTGTACTTAGTATAAGCTGTTTCACTTGATCTAAAGAGAGAAATGAAGAAAGTTCAGAACACTGCCTTTCTCAGAGTGAAATTAACTATTTTCTAAACATTAACTTCGAAAAAATTATAAGTTTTTCTTTATTTTCAAATTATCTGATATTTTATGTTGAAATGAATTTCAATCAAATGAAAAGAATCTTCAATATCCTTTGGCTAAACACAGTTCGTTCTTTTATTTGAATTCTTTTTTTTTTGTAAAAGAAAACCAGAACAAGACAAAATTGAATTAAAACTAAATCAACGGAATGATCTTGTTGTTAATGATGGGATGTCCATTGCTGAGGCAATTGTTCTAATTTAATTCCTTGTATTGATTTTGTAACACGTAGAAATTCGATCATTAGATTTAATCGAACTGTTGATCTTTGTCTTATAAAAAATCGATTAAATGCTTCTATTTGAATATCAATTAATCGATTACATTGATCACGTATCATATCAATTGTTTTATTAATATTTATTGTTGAAGATTTTTCTAGAATTTTTTCTAATGAAGAAAGAAGATGTTGTCCATAACAAGCACAATAATGATCACAACTTTCATTTTCAGATACAAATACATTATTATAACCTTCAGATGATGGCCATAAACGACGATCGAAATTAATTTCTTCTTCATCTTCATCATTTGAATGAATATCATTTAGTAGATCATTAAATAAATTCACAATAAGATTAACAAATAAATCACTTGATGGATATAACAATGCATCACATGTAAAATATTCAAATAAAACATTTTGTGTCAAATAACAATTAGCACCAAATACACCTAGAACAAAGTAAATTCATAAAAAAAAAAAGTCAAAAAACTTGAAAGAACCTGAAAGACGTTTATCATTAATAATCAATGGAATCGTTTTTATAAATGTTTGTCGAACAATATCAGATGAAAATGAAGATAATTTCAAAATTAATTTCCAATATTGACATTTACTTTCCGCTGAAGAAAAAACAAAATGAAATTAATTGAAAGAAAAAAAAAACCAATAATTTTTACCATTTAATGAATCATATAAACATGATTGAGCTTTACTAAGAAGATTAAGAATAGCACAAGCACATTCATCACTACTTTCATCATCAACAAATTCATTCATTCGATCATAGACAAGTTCAATCAAATCTTGTTCATTATTTTTTGATGATGAACATAGAGGTAATAATTCACTAATTAAATTAAAACTTGCTGCTAAACTCATTGGACTAAATGAGAAAAGTTTTTCTTTATCTTTTTTTTTTTTAAATTTAATTTTAATAAATATTTAATTACCGTCTTAATTTTTCAATTAATTCAACGATTCGTCTAGTTAAACGTTCATAGTTATGTGTTTTATCAATCATTTTTAAAAGTAATTCACATGCCTAAAATAATCTTTCTTTCTTTTTTTTGTAGGATTTAAATAAACAAAGAAATATCTTCATTACCTTTGTATAAAGTTGTTCATTAAATAAATCCATAGTTAATAATAAATCTATAATCCATTGTCGAATATTATTTTCAAATAAAGATAAATTATTTTCTAATAAAAGTGTTTCAATAAAACATAATTCTGTTCGAGTTTGTTCCACAAAAATGAAAAGTTTTAATTGAACTTGAATATTTTCAAGATGAATTATTAAACGAGTCAATATACGAGTTAAATCATCACTTCCAATTGTTATTTTATCACCATTTTTTAGAATATTATTTATATATTCATTTATACTATTTCTTAATTCATTCGAACTAATTTGATAATGAATATTGTATAAGAATTCCAAATAACAATATTGTGTTAATGAACAATTATTTCTATAATTAATAACAGACAATATTCCTTTTAACGTTTTTATTCATTTTTATCAATATAAAATAGGTCGAATAGAACACAATATGGAAAATAGAGCATTAGAAGATTTGAAATTTTCTATAGAATTTATCTTTTGTCTTTGATTTGTGTATCTCAGTATTAGTCAATTAGAAAACAAGTATCGACATGCTTGGAAAACCTATCGTAAATAGTCTTTTTTTGAAGTTGCTAATGATATTATATTATGTTTTCTTTATTTTTAGGCGAGATAACTCTGTTTTTTTTCAAAGATATTTTTTATTAATAAAAAGATTTTACAATCTCTCTAGACATCACTTATATGCATCTTTTTTAAATTCATTTTGAAAAGAATTCCTTGACTTTTAATATACGAAATTGAACGAATAAACTTAGCTGCCAAAAAAAAGATTTTTTATCATTCCTAGATTAAAATTTGATAAGGATAATCTATGAATTTCTCAATCGACTTTTTTATTTCTGTTAATATCATTTATTTATTGTTTGTATACGGTAAAACATAGAAAAAGAAAGGTATCTAATCAAATGGAAACAAAGAAAAATAAAATACTAACTCATAGATACACCATTGAAGTGATGAAAGCATCTCTTCTAAACTAAATGATGAATCAAAAGTAAATTGAAGATGATTCTTTTTCATTGAATGAAATATTGCATTTATCTAAATAAATAAACAAAAATAAAGTTGAATTTATTAAATATTTGATGGATTAAATACTTGTAATAAACGACCATGAAGAGTATTTTGTCTAATTTTATCCTTTGATTGTTTCATTAATTGATTTATTTGTTGATGAATTATAGTTGAATATTGATCCCGATGAATTAAAGCTAAAAGAGCTTTTGATGAATGTTCTCGTATTCTTAATAATGGAGATTCTTCACACCTATATTAATTTTAGATTAAAATCAACTTAGAAAAAAAAAATGAGACGTTTTTTTTTTTTTTACTTAATAACAAATGGTAAAAGTTTATCTAATGTTAATGAACAATCAATTCCATCCAATGGACTTGGATAAAGACGACGAAGAATTAAAAGTATAGCAAATAAACATGATGATGATAATGATTCAATTGATGAACGAGTACTTAACAAATAAATAATCAAATTGTATTATTTAAATTTTTTATTTATTCAAATTGAAAACAAAAAAAAAGAAACCTTGTTGTTTGTTGTAATTGTTGATAAAATAAATGAAATAATGATGGATATTTATTAAAAAATTCTCTTGATGTCATACTATTTTTTTTCGATAAATTTTCTTCTCCATCTTTTGTTTTTGATGGACCAAATATTCTTTGAACTATTGTTGATAATAATAATGTTGCACTATTTCTTATCATCCATATTGATGATGTAAAACCAGTTATTGATAAATGAAGACCACGCTCAATATATGGATAGACATCATTTGCAAATCGTTGATTACGATAAAATGAACGAACCGTATTGTATGCGTGAATCTATTAACAATTTTAAT